GGCGAGGGCAATATGGCTTCCTGCACCTGGTGACTGTGGGAGAAACTGAGTTAGGGCTCATGGAGAAGGCCCGGGGCGTGGAGGTGAGGAGAGGACTTTGCACAACTGGGAGAGGGAACCCCGAGACCCACACTCGGTGGATCTTTCCTGGGGCTTTTTAACGACGCCCTGAGGGTGGAGGGCGGTAGGAGGGCTAAACTGAGGTAGCTGACCCAGGGCCATACGCGATTGGAGTTCCTCTTTGCTCCTGTTCTGCTGAGCTCACGTCCCAGGGACGAGGAGTGCGGGGAGGAACAGCCTCTTTAGGCCTAGGGAAGGGGGATCTGAGTTCGGGAATTCTCAGAATTCTGAGAATTTCTGAATCTTCTTTGTCCTTGTCTGGGGCCACGTTCCTTAGGAATTGTGAGGCCTGTCAAGAGATGAAAGTTTAGTGAGCATGATACCGTGCCTGGAGGCTCAGACATGTGGGACTCCCCAGGAAGTCCACACAGCTGGAGAGTGACCGAGGTGGGCACTAAGTCTGTCAGCCTCCAAAACCTTCCCTGTTTTGCTTTTTCAACTTTACTACAACCTGTGATTCGCCCACCCTTTGCTCTTTCTAGGCACCTTATATTTGAATTGGGTTCACATACGCATATATGCGTATATGTGTGTATGTATGCTTTTTTTTTTTTTTGTAAGAGATTTTTGCTATAGGGCGCATGCATGTGGTCGCAGGAGAGACAGAAAGCAAGAAATCACCCCCAGGGTGGGTGGGTTTTTGAGAGGTTTTTGCTATAGGGCGTGTGCAATTGCCAGCCAGCCAGAGACATAGAGACAGAAAGCGAGAAATCACCCCCCAAGGGGGATGGTTACGCCACAATCCCTTCTCCTCCATTCTCCTCTCGGGATCTTGGGCACGCACACACACGCGCCCGGTGTGAGTTCTAAGCCACCGGGTCTGGGACTTGAACCACGGTCAACTACGTGGGAGTCCAGTGACATAGCCATTACACTAACTGCTGGTTCCCGATTCTCTTCTTGGGCTTTTGGACATGTATGCACATGTGCCTGGTGTGAGTTTCAAGCTGCTGGATCCAAGACTTGAGCCGCAATTGGCCATGTGAGAGTCCGGTGACATAACCATTACACCATCTGTTGATCCCCCTTGTAGCATGTTTGCATGGGTAGCTGCAAATGTAAAACAGAATATTCCCCCAAACTCTACACAGGCAATGGAGAATAATAGAGAATAACAATAGCTCACACTTTTTTTGCTCTTACTGCTGGACATAGAAGCCAATTGCCTATGGCTTTACATATCTCAGTCTTCACTATGGTCCTCTAAAGTAGGCTGTTTATGATCTCTGTTGTATTGATAAAGAAACTGAGGACAGCAAGGTTAAATATCTTGTGCAGAATCGCATAGTAAGTGGAAGAGCCAGGATTAAAACCCATGCAACCCTGATTTGAAAACCCATGCTTTTTTTTGAGGGAGAGGTTTTTGCTATAGGGTGTGTGCACTCGCCAGAAAGACAGAGACAGAGAAACAGAAAGAGAGAAATCACCACCACCCCCCCAGGGGAGATGCCCACGCCGCAATCCCTTTTCCATTCTCCTCTCAGGATCATCTTGGGCACGCATGCACATGTGCCCAGTGTGACTTTTTTTCTTTTTTTTTAAAGAATTATTTATTTGGGAACCAGCAGTTAGCGTAACGGCTATGTCGCTGGACTCCCATGTAGTCGACGGCGGTTCGTGTCCCGGACCCGGTGGCTTAAAACTCACGCCAGGCACGTGTGTGCGTGCCCAAGATCCCGAGAGGAGAATGGAGGAGGAGGTATTGCGGCGTGACCATCACCCCTGGGGGGTGATTTCTCGCTTTCTATCTCTATGTCTCTCTCTGTCTGGCGATTGCATGCGCTCTATAGCAAAAATCTCTCCCCCAAAAAAGAATTACTTATTTAATTTGATTTATTCATTTTAATTTGACCAGAGAGAGAGTGAGAAAGCAAGCCACCAGGTCCAGGACTTGAACCATGGTTGGCCATGTGGGAGTGTCCAGCACCTTAACCACCATGCCACCTGCTGGTCTCCCCTGGCGTGTATTTAAGCCACCAGGTCCAGGACTCGAACCGTGGTCGACTACATGGGAGTCCAGCAACAGCCATTACACCAACTGCTGGTCCTGAGAACCGATGCTTTTAACCAGTAATAATTGCCAGTGTTTACTGAGCACTTACTATGTGCAAGTCACTGTTCTGGGTGCTTTACCTGAATTACTTCTCCCCCAAATCCTATGGCATAGGTGGAATTATCCTCCTTGTAAAGAAGTGGAACTGAAGCTCTGACAGGTGACTTGCTGCATGTCGGGGAGGTAGTCAGCCCCAGAGTTGGTATTCAAGTCCTAGCCCAGATCCCAAACCCTTCCCCTTGCTTCACACCTTTTTTTACAACATGCTAGGCAGATTCATAGCCAGTGTTCTTCCCAGTGAGCCAGATATTTTTCTTATTTTGCAGATGAGAAAATCGAAGTCCGTGGAGCTGAAATGAGTTGCCCAAGGCTTCATAGCTAGTTAGGATCAGAGCTGAATCTAAAGCTGAGAGATATAACTACCATTGCCATAGCTGTCTGCATGTCATCTGCTGCTCAGATCCTCCGTGGGGCAGTGTGAGTCCCAAGTTAATTATTCTCTGACTTGGGACCAGCAGTTAGCGTAATGGCTATGTTGCTGGACTCCCACGTAGTAGTCGATCGCGGTTCGAGTCCCAGACCTGGTGGCTTAAAGTCAGGCCAGGCACGTGTGCGTGCGTGCCCAGGATCCTGAGAGGAGAATGGAGGAGAAGGGATTGCAGCGTGACCATCCCCCTGGGGGGTGATTTCTCGCTTTCTGTCTCTCTGTCTGTCTCTCTGGTGAGCGCACGCGCCCTATAGCAAAAAAACTCTCCCAAAAAAAAGAAGAAAAAAAATTTTTTTTCTCTGACTTAAATTTTTGTATTTGAGATTATATAGGTATGTACATATCCTGAATGAGGAAGAATGCGTTTCTAGTACGTATCCCAGACAGCTGCCAGATCGCTGCAGCGGGGCCTCCAGGGAAAGTCTTTTGAGAGCCCCTGCTTAGGAGAGTTTCACATTGTTGTATCCTCTTTGAACTATGTTAAAATATTATAAATCCACAGAGCAGTCTGGTGAGTCCAAATGCATGCTACCTGTCTTGTAAGCTTTTAAGCTGTGGAGAAATGTGTAAACAGGGTAACAGGAGGTCTGAGTATTTGGAAGATTCCAAACACTGTTGACAGAGAATTGAGAAAGGGGCTGAGAGCAGGTCTGCAGCTTCTCTTCCCCACACTGAAGCCAGCGGTCGTTCTTTCTGTCTGGTTTGTGTCTTCCTTGCACTAGGAGACCCCGTCTTCCGAACCAATGGAGGAAGAGGAGGAAGATGATGACTTGGAGCTGTTTGGTGGCTATGACAGTTTCCGGAGTTACAATAGCAGTGTGGGCAGTGAGAGCAGCTCCTATCTGGAGGAGTCCAGTGAAGCAGAAAACGAGGACCGGGAGGCAGGGGAGCTGCCCACCTCCCCCCTGCATCTGCTCAGCCCTGGGACACCCCGCTCTTTGGATGGCAGCGGTTCTGAGCCAGGTGCCTTCAGTGTCTCCTGAAGATGGAGGGGAGTCAGGAGATTGTGGAGGAAGAGGAGGATGGATGTAGGCCCTGTGGGAAGAGCTGTCAAGATGTGAAAGGCCATTTGAGCTGGTGTCTAAGGACCTGTGGGAAAGACAGGCGCCCTTAAGTAGCCACGAGGGTGATTTTCTCTGCTGCTATCTGATTTCAAATTGTAATTTCACTTATTCTTCCATACAATTAATGGGTTTTTTAAAAGATTGCCAGCAGGTCTGGGACTTGAACTGTGTTTGGCCATGTGGGAGTCCAGCACCTTAACCACCATACCACCTGCCAGCCCCACAATATTTATTCAGCACTCATGAGATGCCGGTCAGTCACAAGCTCCTGCTTTTACATCTGTGTGAGCAGGCTGTGGGTTTCTAAGCCTGGATGTTGAGAAGAAAGATTACTTTCTCTCTCTCTCTCTCTCTCTCTTTTTTTTTTTTTGAGGAAACGGAGAAAAGAAAGGTTACTTTCTGAGAAGGGACAAGAAATAGTTTGTGGGTTGGAAGGTAGAGATGGATACAGGGTAAAGTGACCTCTGGGTGCAGAGATTGGGGTGAAGGTGAAGACAAGAATCCCCAGGGATCATGGAAGCCAGCTGGCTTCAGACATGTGATGCCCAGCTGCCACATCACTGCAGCAGGGCCTCCAGGGTGTGGGCTGCCTGTGAATGGAGCGGGCTGTTCTTGTGGGCACACTCCTGTTCCTTGGTACCAACACTCTTTTAGAAGAGTAATGCGGTATTCTTTGCCAGTTGGAGCTCATTTTCTTTTTATTCATCTTATCGTCTGTTCCTCTCCCTTTTATCCTTTACCCTTCTTTTTTCTTCCAGACCTCTTAGAATCTTAGAACATTAGGGACCAGCAGTTAGTGTAACGGCTATGTCGCTGGACTCCCATGTAGTTGACCACGGTTTGAGTCCCAGACCCGGTGGCTTAAGCTCATGCTGGGCACATGTGCGTGTGTACCCAAGATCCCGAGAGGAGAACGGAGGAGAAGGAATTGTGGTGTGGCCATCCCCCCTGGGGGGTGATTTCTTGCTTTCTGTCTGTCTCTGTCTTTCTGGCGACCACATGCGCCCTATAGCAAAAACCTCTCCAAAAAAAAAAAAAATTTAAAAAGAAGGAACCATTAGAGACCATCTAGTTCAGGAATTCCGTACCCTGGTCACACATCAGGTCAGCTGGGGAGCTCTTAACCTACAGACCAGTGTCTCATTGGACACCAACTCATTAAAATCTCAGGCTTTTTATTATTATTATTATTAAATAATACAAAGCATCCATGAGAGAGACACACCCTTGACAGGGTCTTAGCGCTCTGCAGTCTCCCTGCTCCAGCTTCTCGGGTGCCCCCCCCACCCTGTGTTTAATTTTTTTTAACTTTATTTTTTTGTTTACTTACTTATTTAGTTTAATTTGAGCAGAAAGGAACAGCGAGAGAGAGAGAAAGAAGCTACCAGGTCTGGGACCCAAACGACGGTTGGCCATGTGGGAGTCCGGCGCCCCCAGCTACCATGCCACCTGCCGGCCCCATGTGTGTTTAATTCTAATGTGAAGTCACACTTGAAACTCTGATCTAGTTTTGTCCCCTTACCGTATAATAGAGATAAGGAGATAAGGACGTAAGATGTTAGGTAACTTTGGCACATCTTTTTCCCTCTCCTTTTTTTTTTTTAGTGTACAATAATGTGCCTGCATTCACCAGAGACAGAGAGAGTGAGAAAGCACCCACGCCACAATCCTTTCTCCTCCATTCTCCTCTCGGGATTTGGGACATACACGCACACACGTCTCGTGTTCCTTAAGCTACCAGATCTGGGACTCGAACCGTGTAGTCAGCCACACCACCTGGCTAGCCTTTTACATTTGTTTTTTCTGTTCTCATTTTTCTCTCTTGCCAACATTCACCTTTTACCCCTGGATCACCCTGGGTTTCTCCAGGTCCCTCTTGATACATAGACCAAGGGAGGCCCAGCAAGGGAGGCCCATCTTCGCCAAGGTAGGTTCAGATGCACACGGCACCTGCTCGGCCTCCTCTTTTCCCGGCCCCAGGTTTCAAAGGGCCATCATTTTGTTTGACCTGAGGTGACCTTATTGGCTGAATCATGAACTGCATTCTCTCCCCAGCTGTCTGTGAGATGTGTGGTATCGTGGGCACGAGGGAAGCCTTCTTCTCCAAAACCAAGAGGTTCTGCAGTGTCTCCTGTTCCAGGAGCTACTCCTCCAACTCTAAGAAAGCCAGTATCTTGGCTCGATTACAGGTGAGAGGCAGCCACTTGGAGCTTCTGGGGTCCTGGGTGCTGAGATAGGAGCCATCCACTGACTGAAGTCACGGGCCAAGAGGGCTTGGGAAGCCCCTACTCATGGCCATCTGAGGCTGTGGATTCCCTGGGATTTATGGTGCTTTAAACCACAGAGGGCAGAGGAATTTACTTAATGAACCTGTTAATTCCTGGAGCAACTCCCCCCCCAACCCTACCATAATCTCCCAGAATCTGAGGTATTCAATACATTTTAAACAAGAACTTTGGGGGAATCTGATGCCCTGGGTCTTTGCACCCCTTTTTTGTTTTTAATTAATTAATTAATTTCTTTTGTTATTATTATTATTTTTTAATTTGACCAGAGAGACAGAGAGAGAAAGAAAAAGTAAGCCACCAGGTCCGGAACGCGAACACATCAGCCATGTGAGAATACAACACCTTTAACCACCACGCCACCTGCCCGTCCTCAGCACCCTTCTTTTATAAACAGGCTTTGAAAGGGAGCTGGAAACAGGTGCAAGGTTCACTGGCCATGGTGGCTTTGTCCCTGACTCCCAGAAGCCACCTAGAAGGTCTTACTTCCAACTGTTGATCCTAAAGAATCTTGAAGGTTGAAAGAATTCCAGCTCTGTGTTGTGGAGTCCACATCTACTGCTAAGTGGGCTGAGGACCAGCGAGGTAGGAGTACTCCAGATGTGGCTGTGAGGAAGAGCAGCGGACCTGAGGCTACAGTAGAACCTCAGCTGGCCGTGGGTTCCCTCCTGGAAACTGGCCGATGCCCGTAACACTGGCTCACTAATTTAGCTGCACCTTGGCAGCACCTGGCAAGTTTGAAAAATACCGGTGCTTGGGTCCTGATTTACTCACCATGCAGTGTGGCCTGGACACGGATTCAGAGAGCTCCCAGCTGATTCTCCCAGCAAGTTGAGAACAGCTGCTGTGAGGTTTGGGTTACCACGTGCACTATCTTTCTTTTTTTTGGAGAGGTTTTTGCTATAGTGCGTGTGAACTTGTCAAAAAAAAAAACCAGAGAGAGAGACAGAAGGCGAGAAATCACCTCCTGGGGGGATGGCCACGCCGCAATCCCTTCTCCTCCATTCTCCTCTCGGGATCTTGGGCACACACGCACATGCGCCCAGCATGAGTTTAAGCCACTGGGTCCGGGACTCAAACCGCGGTCAACTACATGGGAGTTCAGCGACATAGCCATCACGCTGTTGGTCCCGCCCTTGCTTTACTTTTAAAGAATGTAGTCGAGGCATAGAAAGAACCCTCTCAGAAAGGTAATTCTGATACTGATGGTAGCTATAATTCAGGGTCACTTGCCTAGGCTTTGGCTTCCTCAGTCTGAGCAATGATCCTAAAAGCTGGATTTTTAAACAATTCCTACCTTTTTAATTTGCCAGAGGATGCATGCACTTGTCAGAGAGCGACAGAGGAGGAAAGTGAGGAAGCACCCGCATGGCGGATGGTCACGCTGCAGTCCTTCTCCATTTCTCTCTCCTCTCAAGATTTTGAACACTCACATACACATCCAACATGGTTCTCAAGCCACTGGGTCCAGGACTTGAACCACACAGTTGGCCATGTGGGATCCAGACATCTTAACCACCACACCCCAGAATTGTGGAACTGGATTTGTCCCCAGATCCTACCTAAGATTAAAACCCACATTTCTACTTCACTGACCTCATGCCACAATTCCTAGCCTCTCTGATCAGTGCTTAAGTGACAAGGTACATACAAACGGTGGCCATTTTGGGGGGGGGAGGAGAACCCCCTTTGAACACCTGATGGAAGCCATGGGCCCTCTCTCCAGAGCGTTTGTGTATGCACATAGAATTGCCTTTTGATTCAGAATGTTTCTGGCCCCCTCTGAAGCCCATTCTCTGTGGGAGCCAGAGGAAGGAGATGACTGGCAGTTGGTAGACCTGGTGGAAGCAAACTTAAAAGGTAGAACCTGTGGGGGCCAGCAGATAGCATAGTGGTTAAGATACCGGGCTCCCAGGACCAGCAGGTGGCATAATGGCTACAGTACTGGACTCCCACATAGTTGGCTGTGGTTTGAATCTTGAACCTGGTGCCTTAAACCTCATGCCAGGCGCATGCGCACACGTGCCCGAAGTCCCAAGAGGAGAATGAATGGAAGAGAAGGTATCGTGGCCTGGTCATCCCCCCTGGGGGGTGATTTCTCACTTTCTGTCTCTCTGTCACTCCAGCAGGCACACATGCCCTATACCAGAAATCTCTCTCAATAAAAAAGATGCCAGCATCTCATGTGACTGACCACAGTTCAAGTCCTAAAACTAGTGGCTTGAAACTCATGATGGGCACATGTGTGTGCATGCGCAAAATCCCTAGAGGAGAGAGAAGGAGAAGGGATTGTGGCATGGGCATCCCCTCTGGGGGATGATTTCTAGCTTTTTGTCTCTCTGTCTCTGGCGAGGGCACATGTATGTCCTATATAAAAATTCTCTCTAAAAAAAATGGGAGCCAGCATATGATGTCATGGTTATGTTGCTGGACTCCCACATAATTGACTGCGGTTCAAGTGTTGGACCCGTTGGCTTAAATTCACGCCATGTCTGCATGCATGCCCAAAATCCCAAAGGAGAATGGAGGAAAAGGTACAGCGGTGTGGCTATCCTCCCTGGGGGGGTAATTTCTTGTTCTCTGTCTCTGTCTCTCTGGTGAGGGCATGCACCCTATAGCAAGAAATATTTCTTAAAAAAAAAAAAAAATGGGGCCAGCAAATGGTTGGGTGCTTAAGGCAGTGGACTCCCACATGGCCGACTGCAGTTTGGATCCTGGACCTGGCAGCTTGCTTTCTCACTTTCCCTTTCTCTCTCTATGAGCCAGTGAGTGGCAAGGCAGTTAAGGAGTGGATCCCACATGATTGGCCAGCTCTACTGACATCAACCCCTAGCCTTCCCCAAGATCACCCTGTGAGCTAAGCGTTGTTACTGTCATGATTCTGTTTACAAATGAAGACACTGAACACAAGAGGCTAAGTAACTGGACTGAGACCAGATGTCAATCTTGTCCTGCTAAGCCCAGAATCATGTTCGTAGTCACTGGGCCACATACATCTCTTCTTCGTTCCAGGGAAAACCACCTACCAAGAAAGCCAAAGTCCTGCATAAGGCAGCATGGTCTGCCAAAATTGGGGCCTTCCTCCATTCCCAAGGGACAGGACAGCTAGCAGATGGGACGCCAACGGGACAAGACGGTAAGACCGCCGAGGGCGGCCGGGGCCGGGTGGGCCAGGGCTGCTCAGCCGGGAGTGAGGCATGACCCGAAAGGCTGCTGGAAATTGCCCTGACCCAGTCTGCTGTGGGTTGTGTCTTCCTCAGCTGTTGGGTGTTGCAGAAATTACCCCAGAACATCTTTCCAAAGACCATAGTTGGCCATTTGGGAGTCTAGCACCTTAACCACCATGCCACCTGCTGGCCTCAATTCTTTGCTTTCTGTGGCTCAAGTCATGACCTGGCATCTTGAAGTTTCACACTGGACATGTATGGTGCATGCCCGGATTCCCAGAGGAGAATGGAGAAAGGATTGTCGTGTGGCCAACCCCCTGGGGTGGTGATTTCTCACTTCCCCTCTCACTGTCTTTCTGGAGAGTGCAGGTGCCCTATGGGGACTGGAGCCCAATATCTTTGGTTTGTCTTTGCTTTTTGCTGTGGTGTGCAAGCATATCCCTGGGGTAGTGTAGGTGGGGAGGCCCAGGTCAGGTTGGAAGTGGGTGTGGAGGTGGGTGGGGAAATTAAAAAAAGGAACCTTTCTCTTTTTGTGATTGGTTAACAGTTTCTTTTACATATATATATAATTATTGTATTTTTATTTAATTCTATGTGTTTATTATTCTTATTCACTTTGACAAGAGAGAGAGAGAAAGAGAGAGAAACCAAGCTGCCAGGTCCGGGACTCGAACTACAGTCAGCCATATGGGAGTCCAGCATCCCAATTACCACGCCACCTTTAGCCCCAGTTAGCAGCTTCTAAACAAATGAAATGTAGGCACCAAACAACTTTGCTGTAGCCGGTGGAGTTTTTGGCTGAAACACTTCCCCCGCCACGGGCTGGAGGGCCTGGATGTGCCCTTGCACCTGTTGAGATTCCTGTGGCCCAGGGGGCCTGTTCAGGAACACTTGAGTTGCCTGCCCTGTTTCTCCGGGGGAGGACAGGTGAGAGATCTTCTCAGTGCTGCCGTCCTCCTGAGAACTCTGCTGTCCGGGGCCACTGGTGGGACAGTTGCAGGAGTGTGAGGGGCCTCACGGGTTGGGGTGGGGCCACTTCTGTGGGCACGCGGGGTCCTCTGGGCCCAGGGCTCAGTCTGCACTCCTCTTTCTACTCTGCAGCTCTGGTCTTGGGTTTCGACTGGGGGAAGTTCCTGAAGGACCACAGTTACAAGGCAGCTCCTGTCAGCTGTTTCAAACACGTGAGTGCCCCAGCAACACGGGAGGGAGAGCAGGGACCCAGTGCCCCGCCGCCTACTGGGTGCTTACCCACCTGCTTCATGAGGGCTGTTCCACGCGGGATGTGGGTATGGGGAGAGAACAGTGGCAAGGCCTGGGCCGGAGACGCCCAGCTTCACCACTCGCTCCTTGACGTCCGACAGACGCTCACTGAGGGCTCCTAGCACCGCTGTCAGCTGCGCCTCCTCTCTGAGGTCCCTACTCAGCTAATTTACATAAGGGAACTTTGAGCTGTTGACATCTAAGGCCTTTCCAACTCTGAAACCCTTCTCTCCGTTCTACCCTACTTGCATTGTTTCGCCATTGAAAACGGGGTGCCTCTGTACTGGCCTAGGCCTCAGGAGGCAGACGTGAACCCTCCTGACGCCCGCTTTACCAGAAGACTTCATAGCGCCTGTTCTTGAGAACCAGAGGGCAGAGTCCGGGCAGGCGGAGCTTGAGCCACGAACTCAGTATCCAGCAGCTGTCGCCCATGCTAGTCAGCAGGCCAGGGCAGGAGGCCACACGGCACTGTTTTGTCCTGCAGACCAGTTTTCAAACCCCAGGGAATCTGGGAGGAGGCCTCTCTGGGTTCAAAAGCATCTACTGACCTGAGGACGCACCTGCTGGCCTCCTGGCTGCACTGCTGCTGAGCTCTGGGGAGCACCTGAGCAGTGGCAGGCTGGCACTCAGCTAACGCTCACTCCCCACTCTCTGAACCCCCGGGGCGGGGCACCTCTGTCCGATGGACACCCCTTTTTGCTCTGCATTCTCTAGTCATCCAGCATCTCGTCCCGGGGCAGGTCTGTCGCACCCTCGTTTAGCCACCACGGATGGCTCCACATGCCTCGTGTGCCTAGGCTAGGCTCACGCCACAACTTCCACGTTCTGCAGTGACTCGATGTCTGAATGGGAAGATGGATGGGTTAAGCCAGGATTGAGAATGACAAAAGATGAATTTCCCCAAAGGAGACTCAAAGTCCATTGGCAGAAAAGTGAGGGTTCAGGGGCCAGCAGAGGGCGTAGCAGTTATATTGCTGGACTCCCACATGGCTGACTGTGGTTTGAGTCCTGGACCCAGTGGCTTGAAGATCATGCCGGGTGTATGTGTATATGCATGTACAAGATCCCAGAAGGAGAGAAAATTGTGGCATGGCCACCCCCTTGAGGGTGATTTTTTTACTTTCTCTCTCATTCTCTCTGTCTCTCTCTCCCTCCCCAGAGAGTACAAGCACCCCAAGGCAGAAACCTCTTTTTAAAAAAAATGTGAAGATTCAGGGTGGGAAGGCAATCAAAGGAGCTCGGTGCTGGGAACCAGCAGTTAGCGTAATAGCTACGTCGCTGGATTCCCACGTAGTTGACCGTGGTTCGCGTCCCGGACTCGGTGGCTTAGAACTCACGCCAGGCGCATATGCATGCGTGCCCAAGATCCTGAGAGGAGACTGGAGGAGAAGGGATTGCGGCATGGCCATCCTCCCCTGGGGTGTGATCTCCCGCTTTCTGTCTCTCTGTCTCTGTCTGTCTGGTGAGCGCATGCGCCCTATAGCGAAAAATAACTCTCAAAAAAAAAAAAAGTAAAAAAAAAAAAGCAACTCAGTACTGTCAAGGGGCACATTTTCCTAGGGGACAAGGTGGGGTAGGATATGCCCAAGGTAGCGAGTGGCTGGGCGACTCTGTAGCAGGAGGTCACGCTACTGCCCAGGTCTGAGCTCCAATTGCAGGGCGCATCTGTGCCAGGAACGGTGCCTGGCATGTGTTGGGCACTAGCAGGGGTGGCTGTTGCACAGCCGGCACAGCAGCAGGGACCGCTTGCCACCGGGGTGTGATACACCGAGGTGACAGTTTGGAACGGAGGCTGTGAATTTGCAGTTCCAGTCTAATCACCTCTGGGTCTCTAACTACCGCCCCACCTCCGCTGCAACTCTTCAAGGACAGCAGACTCACCATGTCCAGCTCTTCCTCACCTAGCGCCTAGCTTTCTGCATGCAATGGCTGATGTGGAAAGCTGAGGTGCAGAGGAGGACTCGTGACCCGGCCACAAGGCTGCCACTCTTCCCTGCCAGCCCCGACAGCTCACTCTCCCTGGACGCTTGTGTCACCACACAGGTCCCGCTCTATGACCAATGGGAGGATGTGATGAAGGGGATGAAGGTGGAGGTGCTCAACAGTGATGCTGTCCTCCCCAGCCGGGTGTACTGGATCGCCTCTGTCATCCAGGCAGCAGGTGGGTGTTCCTGCTGGGCCAGGGTCAGGGACATGTCTGAAGAGTGACACAGGGGCCGACAGGTAGCATGGTGGGTACAGCACGGGATCCCACATGGCCGGGTGTGTGATTGGAGTCCTAGACCCGGCAGCTTGAAAATCATGCCAAGTGTGTGCGTGCCCAAAATCCTGAGAGGAGACTGGAGGAGAAGGGGTTGTGGTGTGGCCGTCCACCCTGGAGTGTGACTTCTCTCTCTCTCTCTCTCTCTCTGTCTCTCTGGCAAGCACACGTACCCTATAGCAAAAACAAAAAACAAAAAGAGTGACATATTTATGCTGGTGGACAGTGTCAGTGGGCAGAAATTGGCTTTATAAAACACGGGACCAGCAGTTAGCGTAATGGCTATGTCCCTGGACTCCCATGTAGTTGACTGCAGTTTGCATCCCGGACCCAGGGGCTTAAAACTCACACCAGGCGCATGTGTGTGCGTGCCCAAGATCCTGAGAGGAGAATGGAGAAGGGATTGCGGAGTGACCATCCCCCTGGGGGGTGAGTTCTCGCTTTCTGTCTCTCTGTCTTTCTGGCGAGCACATGATAACAAAACCCTCTGGGAAAAAACAAAACAAACAAACAAAAACCCACTCACTAGAGTTTCTGCTCCTCTTGTTGGGGTTCTCCTACCTTAGAGCAGACCGCAAGGCTTGGCAAACTTGAAAGTCCCCCCTTTTTAAAGTTTATTCAGGGGTGATTAGGCCATGGGAATTAATGGGTCTTTGGAAAAGTCATGACACATTTTTGCATAAAAAATACATCATACTCTTCCAACAGCCCAGTAATTCTCACCAGCAGGCCATAGTGCTTTCCAAATATGGGGAGGAAATGGAATTAAAGCCCAAGTTCATTGTGGTGTAAAGAAATCGTGAAACCCGTGCAGTTTTTCCCAAGGTGCGTTTTTGTTTTTTGTTTTTGTTTTTGTTTTTGAGAGGTTTTTGCTATAGGGAGCATGTGCTCACCAGAAAGACAGAGAGAGACAGACAGCGAGAAATTGCCTCCCAAGGGGATGGCCATGCTGCAATCCCTTCTCCATTCTCCTCTCGGGATCTTGGGCACACACGCGCCTGACTTGAGTTTTAAGTCACCGAGTCCAGGACTCGAACAGCGGTTGACTACATGGGAGTCCAGCAACATAGCCATTATGCTAACTGCTGGTCCCCCAAGATGCGTTTTCCGTGACCTTTTTGGTTTGGCTGTGAATACTGTGGATCACAGGGGCCCTGCTTATCCTAAAGAAGTTCCTGGATGAGGTCACAGAAAGTCAGGCTCAGGCTAGAGAAGAGGGAAGCCTGAGAGCCCAGCGCCCACCCCACTAAAGAGGGAAGCCTGAGAGCCCAGAGCCCACCCCACTAAAGAGGGAAGCCTGAGAGCACAGAGCCCACACCACTAAAGAGGGAAGCCTGAGAGCACAGAGCTCACCCCACTAAAGAGGGAAGCCTGAGAGCACAGAGCTCACCCCACTAAAGAGGGAAGCCTCATCCCACCCTCTCTCACAGGTGCTCTTTTCCTTCCTTGCAGGGTATCGAGTGCTGCTTCGGTATGAAGGGTTCGAAAACGACGCCAGCCACGACTTCTGGTGCAACCTGGGAACCGTGGATGTACACCCCATTGGCTGGTGTGCTATCAACAGCAAAATCCTGGTTCCACCTCGCAGTGAGTTGAAGAGAATGCTCCCTGTCCTGGCTCCTCCAGGGCCCTGGGTAGAGGAGGTCTGCTGTGTTAGAACACAGGGGCCTCTGCCTCCTGCCCTCCCCATTCCTGAGGCCCGAGCAGATCGAGCTGTGGAGCCTGTTTTGTAAGATGACACCAGTGCTGGCCTGAATGCTGGCCTGAAGAGGCAGGAATAATTGTCAGTCCCCTCTGCTGGTCTCTGGGCCAGCTCAGCGCCCCCTGTGGGTGGGAGTGTCAGTTTGTGTAACCAGGATTCCACGGGTATCTCCACAGCCATCCATGCCAAGTTCACTGACTGGAAGGGCTACCTCATGAAACGCTTGGTGGGCTCCAGGACGCTCCCCGTGGATTTCCACATCAAGGTCGGCAGCGATCCCTGGGGGCTCTCCCCTCCCCTCCTGCTCTTCTTTATCCTTTGTGGCCATTGGAATATTTCTTCCAAGACTCCCTGGCTTGACAGTCTTGGGCAACTCCACATTTCTCAAGGATGGAGTCAGACTCCAGGCTGTTCTGTCCGCCTTCCCAGCCCACCGTCAGCCATCCGCCCATTAGGCTCTCCCCCCTTCCGCTGTGTTACTGTGCTGCCTTTTCCTCTTACAGTCCTTACCCTTGCTCGTAGTGACTCCAGGAGCGTTCACTAAGTAGATTTTTCTTTTTTTATTTTTTTTAATTTATTTTTAGATTTTCACTATAGGGTGTGTGTACTCACCAGAGAGAGAGAGACAGAGAGAGGGAAAGTGAGAAGTCACCCCCACCCCAGGAGGGATGGCCACACTGCAGACCCTTCTCCTCCATTCTCCGCTCAGGATTTTGGGTTTGCACTCAGACACACCCGGAGTATTTTCCAAGTTGCTGAGTCTGGGACTTGAACCATGCAGTTGGCCATGTGGGATCTAGCCATCTTAATCATCATGCCAATGGCTGGCTCTCATTAGAGTTTTATTTATTTGGGACCAGCGGATGGCGTAATGGTTACATTGCTGGACTCCCATGTAGTCGACTGCAGTTCAAAACCCAGACTCAGCAGCTTAAAACTCACACCAGGTACAAGTGCGTGCGTGTCCTCAAAACAGGATGGAGGAGGAGGGATTACTGGGTGGCCATCCCCCCTTGGGGTGATTTCTCACTTTCTGCCTCTCTGTCCTGGACCCAGTGACTTAAACTCATGCCAGGCACATGTGCGCATACGTGCCCAAGATCCCAAGAGGAGAATGAAGGAGAAGGGCTTGTGGCGTGGCCATCCCCCCTGAAGGGTGATTTCTCTCTGTCTCCATGGCGAGCACATGCACCTTATAGCAAAAAAAAACTCTATAAAAAAAGTTTTATTGGGACCAGCGATGGCATAATAGCTAAGTCGCTGGACTCCCATGTAGTCAACTGCGGTGCAAGTCCTGGACCTGGTGGCTTAAACTCAGCTGGGCGCATGTGCGTGCTTGTGCAGGATCCCGAGAGGAAAATGGAGGAAAAGGGATTGTGGCGTGGCCATCCCCCCTGTGGGATGATTTCTCCCTTTCTATCTGTCTAGTGAGCACACGCACCCTATAGCAAAAACCTCTCAAAAGAAAAAAAATGTTTTATTTATTTATTTCTTCCATGAGTGAGAGAGAGAGTTAGCAACCTCGTCAGCATCCTCACTGGAGTCTACCCCAGACTTTACCCGGCCCGAGATCATGGGCCCACACATGCCCATTGTAGTCAGGGAGGTCTCTGGACTGGGACAGGCAGCCCTCCCATGTAGTACGGCATTACAGAGCATCGATGCTTTACTGCTGCTCCACTGTCTGGCCCTCAGCAGATTGTATTAAGTTCTCGTTATTTATAAGGTACTGTGGGGTGCAAGGAATAAAGACCCTGCTATCCAGAAATCTCTGGTCTTCACAGAAGAAATGAGAGTTGTGCACAGTCATAAAATAGCTTTGGTTCAGAATCAAGATGTGCTCCAGTGTCATCTGTGGGGCATTTAATTTTAATTTAAAAAACTACTTAGTTCAAGGACCAGCAGTTGGCATAATGGCTGTCACTGGACTCCCATGTAGTTGACTGCAGTTCAAGTCCCAGACCCGGTAGCTTAAACTCATGCCGGGCGTGTGTGCGTGCGTACCCAAGATCCCGAGAGGAGAACGGAGGAGAAGGGATTGCGGCATGACCATCCCCCCTGGGGGGTGATTTCTCGCTTTCTGTCTCTCTGTCTTTCTCTTTCTGGCAAGTGCACGCGCCCTATAGCAAAAACCTCTCAAAAAACAACTACTTAGTTCTTTAATTTAAAAAGTCATAGTTGCACATGATAAAAAACCAAAGAGTGGGACCAGCAGGTGATGGTTAAGGCGCTGGACACTCCCACATGGCCACCCATGGTTTGAGTCCTGGACCTGGTGGCTTGCTTTCTCACTTTCCCTCTCTTTCTCTGTGTCTCTCTCTGAGCACATTGAAATGAATGAATGAATAGATAAAATAAAATAAATAATTATTCAAAAAAAAAACAGAACAAAACAAAAGGGGGACTGGCAAGTGGCATGGTGCTTAATGGCACTGGACTCCCATGTGGCTGGCCACAGTTCGAGTCCTGGACCTCGTGGCTTGCATTTTTATTTTCTCTCTTTTTCACTGTGTCCCTCTGGTAAAATTAAAATAAATAAATAAAGTTAGAGAAAAACTAAAAACAAATAACTAAAAGATAAAGCAAAGAGATCTGAGTGCAGTGGTGAGGCACCGTGCAGAGGAAGCTGGACCCACATAGCCAGTTAGAGTGTGAGTCCTCACTGGCAGCTTGAAAAACATTCCAGGCACATGTGCTTGCCCAGGATCCTGATGGGATAGAAAATGGGGAAGGAGGACTGAGGTGTGACCAGGCCTTGTTGAGGCAGGGGGTCCCCTCTGTCTCTTTTTCTAGCATGAAAAAAAAAAAAAAAGCAAAGGGACCAAAAGGACAGGGGGGGTCCCCTCTGTCTCTTTTTCTAGCATAAAAAAAAAAAAAAAGCAAAGGGACCAAAAGGTACACAGTAAGGGCCGTCTCCCACCCGTCTTGGCCAGATGTCCGGCTGCCGGCCTGAGCCGTGGCCGAGGCCTCCTGAGCAAGGTGGTGGTCACAGGGGTGGCCCAGGCCATTCTGCCAAGTGCACAGCAGGCACAGGTGTCCTACAGGAGGGGCAGGTAGCCAGGAGGCTCCACGGAGAAAATGTGTCCAATGGCCAGGCCAGGTGGTGGGAGGTAACGTGGACTGGCAGTGGGGCCTTCTCCCCTGAGGCGCCGGCTGCCAGAAGAGGCTACACATCCTGGCTCCTCAGTAGGGGCGGTTCAGGGCTCCCTGAGCCATTCCCTGGTTTGCTTCCCAGAGCAGAAAGGGTTCCCTCAGCCTACCAGGCACTCCCTGTGTGCGGTGTCTCTGAGGCTGTCTGAGTAGTCTCCCTGCTCTCCCCAGCAACATTAGAAACCTCCTGTATTTCCCGCAGTGCCTCCCACGGTCGGCACGTTGGCGCCCGGGGCACCGTTCAGTCTCAGCCAGCCCGACTTAGGATGAGGCAGGTAACAGCGGTGGGCCAGGCCGCTGGAGTAGCAGAGGAGCCTCTGCTTAGATCAAGAGGAGCATGAGGGGCCAGCACGTAGCTTGGAGTTAGGGCGCTGAATCCCACACGGCTGGCTGTGCAGTGGCTTGGAAGTCACACTGGGCGTGGGGTGGGGGGGGGCTTTCCAAGAGGAGAATGGAGGAGACAGGAATTCAGCATGGCCATCCCCGAGGGGTTGATTTCTCACGTTCCCGCCCTCTGTGTCTCTGTCTCTCTGGTGACCACCTGCACCTTATAGCAAACATCCACACACACAGGATTGTGAATCTAGGCGGGGCAGGGTCCCACAGGAGCCAGTTAATAAACTCGCGCAGTGACATGACATACCAACTCTGCAGCACACACCGGAGGGGATGCCAAAGCACAAGACAGCTCTGGGGAGCGCAGTTCCCAACAGGCTTTCTGGGGGGCTAGTCCTGAGGCCACTGCCTTGAAGAGGAGGGCCTTGACCCACTGGATCCTTCAGTGTGGAGGCCATGGTGCAGATGGGGCCTGGCCTTTCTCGTGGGAAGCACTCATTCACTGGTCGCCGTCCCCTCTGAGGGGTGAGACGACCTGTAGCCCCGTGGCTAAGCTCTGCATGGGCAGCTGGATCCCACATGGGAGGTGGCAGTTCCAGGTCTAGCCCGGGAAGCTTGAGAAACACAACAGGCACACGCGTGTGTACACGTGCCCCAGATCTCAACACGATGGAGAAATAGAGATGGGATTGGGGCGCAGCTGTACCCCACTAGAGTGCTTTCTCTCTCTGGGTAATGCATCTGCCTTTTGGCAATAAAATTCTTTTTTAATTAGTTTTTAAAAAATGGAGACTGGGGGTGGGGAGGCTAGCAGGGGTAGGTGTGTGGAGGAAACTTCCATCAAGACATGGCCTTTTGATGCCTACGGTACAGCAGGTGCTCGGTGAAACGTCCAATGAATGGATGGCCCATCAGCCAAAGTCAGGAGTGTGCGCCGTGCTGTCCACTGGTTCACCCGAGGAAAAGGTTAACTGAGCACTGACCGCCCGGCTTTGTGCTTAGCTGAGAATGCAGGAATGAACTGATCTTAGCTTCTGCCCGTACCGGGTTTTTCTGGTATGTTATCCTAAACAAATGAGAACAGTGAAGTGTCAGGGTGGCCTGCACTATCTCGGCTGCCAGGGAAAGCTAGGTGGGGAGGCGGCCCGAGGTGCCCCAACCCAGGCCTCACCCTGCGCTGTCTCCCCTAAATGAGCAGCATGGCTTGGGATGAGCCCAGGGAGCCGCTGGTCCAGGACTGGTGTCAGCTTGTCCTGTCGGCTGAGAAGCTCCCTCTCCTGGTGTGTTTGGAAATAGCAGTGCTGTCAGCCTGTCACCACCAGGCCTGGCCCTGGGCCAGGGAAGCCAGCTCCCGGTAGCTATTCTAGACCTGTTGCCGGCACAGTGAGCAGAAAGAACCTCCTCCCCTGCACGTGCCTCCCTGTGGCACAGCTCGTGGGCGCGTCCGTCATGGAGTCAGAGGGGACGTGGTGGGTGGTGAGACACTAAGAAAACATTCCACAGCCTTGGCCGTTGGGCGCAGACAAACGGGGACGCAGGACGCCACTCTCTGCAGCCTCCTGTGTGCTGTCAGCAGAGGCAGACAAGGTGACCCGGCGTCAGTGCAGAGCCCAGGAAGAGCACAGGCCGACACCAGGTCCGGGGCCCAGCTCTGGGTCTGATGACAATCTGCACACCGCGTGGTCTCTGGGCCACCCAAGTGTCCCTGGTCCAAACTGGGTCCTGTCATCCTAGGTTGCTGCTGTTTTGTGCCGTGCCTCCCTCGACAGCAGTCCTGGGGATCTGGGCCAGGCCCAGGTGGGACAGAAGGCTGTCCTGGCCACCTCTTGACTCCATACTGCGTGGCTGTCCATGCTGCCCGCCGCGCCCTCCCTGTCCTCTGCTCACTCTGAAGAGATAGCAGGTGGGTGGGAGGAGCCTGGGGCTGCAGCGAGCCTGTCCTGGTGTCATTGCAGATGGTGGAGAGCATGAAGTACCCCTTTCGGCAGGGCATGCGGCTGGAGGTGGTGGACAAGTCCCAGGTGTCACGGACCCGCATGGCCGTGGTGGACACGGTGATCGGGGGTCGCCTGCGGCTCCTCTATGAGGACGGGGACAGTGACGATGACTTCTGGTGCCACATGTGGAGCCCTCTGATCCACCCAGTGGGCTGGTCCCGGCGAGTCGGCCACGGCATCAAGATGTCAGGTGAGCAGGGCCCACACCAGCATGACCCCAGGCATAGCCAGCCCGAGGCCTGGTTGATTCTGCACACACGACCGTGCTGGGAGGTAGAGGCTGTCGTCTCCACTCCAGGGGCCTGTACCGAGGGCGGGGAGGCTGAGCGACCTGACCAGGGTCACTCCACTCAATTCGTGAAGTCAAGACTGAACCCAGGGGCTCCACTCAGTCCTCTCTGTCGGGCGGGCGGTCTGGGTCTCAAGGGTCTCTCCCCCGGCCCAAAGGTCCCTAGAAGGAGCTGTGGGTGTTTTCTGGGCGAGACCGTCTGTCTGCTCTTGGGGTGGGGCACGGAGAGACGCCGAGAGCACACACCCAGCAGCCCCGCGCCCCTGCACAGGTGTGGAGGTGACCCGTGAGCTACCCTCACCTCCTACCTCTTTCTCACTCCCTCTGCCCTCCCCTCAAGAGAGGCGAAGTGACATGGCCCACCATCCCACCTTCCGGAAGGTCTACTGCGATGCCGTTCCCTACCTGTTCAAGAAGGTGAGGCACAGCCCTGGGCATGCTCCCCCTCAGCGGCAGGCCCTTTGTTTCTGACCTGCTCCCCCACCCTCCCCCAACCCTGCCTTCCCATCCCTTTAAGGTGCGAGCTGTCTACACAGAAGGTGGCTGGTTTGAGGAGGGGATGAAGCTGGAGGCCATTGACCCTCTGAACCTGGGTAACATCTGCGTGGCAACCATCTGCAAGGTGAGCCCATGACTGGCTCCCAGCTTCCACCGTGGCCCGCTGTGGGGGCTGGCGCTGACCTCTGCATCCCTCCATCTGTGCCGCCTTGCTAACCCTGGCTGCTCCTGGGGCACCTGGCTTGTGATTCTAAGCAAACTGCCCCTTGCTCAGTGAGCACCTGAGCCTGGCCCTGGGTTTGGCCACCCTGTCACCTCGCCCTCCCGTTGTCACCGTGCCTGCCGAGCAGCCACCCATCCTTAGTGCTCTTGGCGGCCACCCCCGGTGTGTCCCTTCGGCAGGTCTGCTCCGTGCAGGCCCGGGTGCCCCCCACTGGCACGGCCTTGCCGTCTAGTGGGGACAACCGATCAACTCAGTGGGGAGGCTGAGTGCTGTGGGGAGAAGCCCACGCTGAGCCACAGACACCTCACCCTGCAGTGGTGCATTCAGTGCGAGGGCCTCTGTCTGCCCCTGCAGGTCCTCCTGGACGGCTACCTGATGCTCTCTGTGGATGGGGGGCCCTCCACAGATGGCTCAGACTGGTTCTGCTACCACGCCTCCTCCCACGCCATCTTCCCAGCCACCTTCTGCCAAAAGAATGACATTGAGCTCACACCCCCTAAAGGTAAGCCTGGGGAGACCACTGTGTGCTGGCCTTGGGCCGGAGGCAGGGGTAAGGTCACAGGCCCAAACTCCCGGGCAAGTCGACCCCTGGGGTATGCGGTCTCAGGGCGTGTGGGAAGGATGGCAGCCACCTAGGCCACAGCTAGCGCTGACACTGCCTGGCGGACTTGGCCCCAGGCTGGTACGGGGTCGGTGAACAGAGGTCCCACTTGTCCCTTTGGGCAGTGAACACCCTGTACAACAGTGGTCCTGGAGGGGGTGCCAGCCTGGGGGGCCGGGAAGAAGGATGCTGGGGAGACGCCAGGCTGTGCGCTGCCCCGCTGCAGTGCCCCTTTTTAGGGCATTCCTTTCCCACCCACTTCCCGCGTCCCTCCCTCTCCTCCCACCTCTACACGTCTTGCGGAATTCCCCAGGGTACGAGGCACAGACTTTCACCTGGGAGGCCTACCTGGAGAAGACCAAGTCAAAAGCAGCTCCCTCAAGACTCTTCAACATGGTGAGGGGATGAGGCCCAGGCCAGGGTCTGTGGCAGCCATGCGATTCCACCCCCTCCTCTGAGCCTCTGCTGCTGAGCTCGGCCTCTCCAAGGGCGGAAGTCCCACACGGACAGAGGCTCCCCCAGCCCCAGCATAGCCAGCCCCTTCCTGCAGAGGGGGCCGTGTTCCAGCGAGCCCTCCCCAGCAGGCAGCCGGGCTCCCCCATGACTGCTCCCCTCCCCACCCAGGACTGCCCCAACCACGGCTTCAAGGTGGGCATGAAGCTGGAGGCCGTGGACCTCATGGAGCCCCGGCTTATCTGCGTGGCCACGGTGAAGCGGGTGGTGCACCGGCTCCTCAGCATC